GTAATGGCTTCCTGATGGCCACATTTAATTGCCTGACACCAACGTGATAAATGTAGACCGGAAAAAAAATTATGTGTTTGTTCTGTAAAATGCCTAAGTACAACATTTACATTTAAAGGTCTAGTGTGTAGGATTTAGTGGCATTTAGCAGTGTACTTGCGGATCATAACTATGGTGGCTGAAAAAACACAAGAGATACATGAACACGTCTATTAGAGCCATTGTTTGTCCCTTCTGGGCTATTGTAGAAACATGACGGTTCAACATGGCAGACTCCATGGACAGCGAAGACCTTTAAGCATTTCATAGCTAGGAATCTACAGCAAGCTTTAACTGGAAGTTCAGATACACAAGACATTGTGTGACAAAATACTTTTAAAGGGATAGATTAACCTTTGGGAAGAGTCAGATTAGAGGATAAAACTGTCCAGTCGGTGAAACTATGGAGCTGAAGCCATGAGGGCGATAAGCTTGCCTTAGCTTAACTTAGCTTAGTTTGGCTTAGTGTAAAGACTGGAAGCAGGGGTAACAACTAGCCTGGGTCAGTCTAAATATAAAAAAATCTTTCCAGTATATCTAAAACTATTTGTTTTCCTTGTTCCTTCAGTGGACACAATTGTTGGCATTAAAACAACTGTTATGTTACAGGATTGTCACTCTTACCTCTGCCAGGTCATGCTGCTTAATCTTAATAGCTTAATAATTAAAATGAACACAGAAGCGAGATACCACATATAACTATTAAATCTGATACCTGCAGTAGAAACTACAACATGTCAAAACCAGACAGACCAATCTACTTGCTCTGTGTGTATTGTATCTTCAAACCCTTCTAATTTAATTCTACAGTCATTTCACATGGAGCTCAGAGGAGTATGTTCAGGAGCAATAATGCAGTGCTGGCCCCAGCCTCCCATAGTTTGAGCAGGTTTAAGGAAGTTTACTAAAAGCATGCAGCTTTCAGGCATATTTAGGGAAAAACATCTGAATACTATATGACGTGTTAGTGATAATAAAGACAGGTCATACTTCGGTAGTGACTAATACTGGAGGCATCGATTTTGAGAATCACACTTCTAATAAACTGATTGAAGTTAACTAGGTGACCTATTAAATGTGATTAATGAATAAGGCTCTGAACATTTTTTTAAGTATCCAATGCCAGTGTTTCCCATCAAAATGAGTTAAATCACTATAAGCCCACATTCGAGTCCTTTGTTTTTAAAGCCAACTACGATTTAGCCTGAGAATTCCTCAAGTGGTCCGCTGAAGGTTATAGTAAGTCTTATAAGACATTAGTGCCTGGTATGCACTAAAAGAGTTAAAAGCCTTCCACTAAAAGCCCTATAATTGCATCAATTGCACGGTCCTTCTTTCTGTCTCTATTCATCCCAGAATTGTGTACACCATGTGCTGTTTGTATATTGTCTGGACTTTGTAATTACTGGCTTGATGATGGCGTCTTTAAAAAGTGTTTGCCAATGTATTAATCAGACATCAAAAGGAGGCAGACTAAAGCATTATGTTCTATTAAAGACTGTTTCTAATGCATGATTTACATTTGGTTTGGCATGTTACGGTAGACCTCACATCTTCAATCAGGAAATATTCAGGAAAGACATGCAGGCAGCTGGATATTAGTAGGCTAACTGTTGGCTACATCTTTCTCTCTTACTCTGTCTCTGTCTTTTTCTCTCATAATCATTCAGAAACATTTTGCGAGTGTAACAAAACTGAAACCAGAAATGATAAATAAATAAATTATTTAACTGATGCTTTTACATCCACTGGTATATCATCAGGCATATTTTGTCTCCTCCCCAAATAGCCTACCCTTGTTGGATATTATCTCGTATGTTGAATGACCAAATTGTAAAAACAACAAATTGCCGTTTTTACACTTTGGTAAAAAAGAGACAATATAACTAATTTGAGACAGTTCTGTATATCCAGTTTCTTCGTTACGGTACTAATTCACATATTCAATACACTGTACATACACACTGTTCTTAATATTGTTGTAGAACTACCATTTTCTGATTCGAAATCACTATCATTAAATTTGTTATCCAATACTGTTTTCACAGTCTTGCAATTGCTTCCAGTAAAGACCTCAAAGGCCAACAGTTTTTATTGGAAGTGTTTAGCTCTCTTAGCTACATAAAAGTGCACCAACACATATATAGTGAGGGTAACATGAATATTTGTTTTTATCTAATAATGTACATCCTGACTTTTAAATTATTATACAGATTAGTTGCAAGGTTCATAACTGAAGAATTATGGGAACTCCATTTGCTGCTAATTTGCACTGTATAACAGCATCAGCTGCATATACAAAGTATAGTGCTCAGATAACTCTAAGGCCTAAAATCATACAAGGTTCTTGTTAAAAGATAAAGAAAGTGCTTCGACGTGCTTATAGAATAAACAGTTGCCAGAGAGGCGTTTGCAATCAATCAAGAAGCCACAGCTGCACATGCCCAAACATGGTCGCATATGAAAAAGTCCCTGACCAGGATACAAATTCCACACAGTTTACAAGACACAACATACTGTAGTGGTGACCTTTTATGCTGCTCGTTTAAATGTTTGTGCACAGTTTGGTTGAAAAGGAGTGTGTGTTGTTTTGTGGCCGATAACCATCGACTGGTAAAGTGGAGATTTGTAAGCATCTTATCATCTCTATGCAGAGTTAACAGGCTCCACTGGACACTTACTCACACTCCTCAGCTCTCCACTCAGTGCTCTGCAGCTCTGCTTTGTTTTAACAAGCAACAGGACACAAGGAGTCCGTCATCAACTGACAGGTAAAAAGTGGAAATTGACAACAACTTCAGCGGGTCGTGAGTCGTGATCACTGAAACCTGAATAAAATGTCATGGTGACACAAGGGGCTAAAGTCATCCAAATTCAAAGTTATAGTTTCCTCCTCGACTGTACTCAATGGAAATAGATGCAGCTATGTGCACTCCCTGTTCTGCATCCCATCAGCTGAGATGGTGTACTCGGCCTCCTTTTAAGGAAGTACACAGGCAGTGTTAGTTGTAGTGTCCCGACTTGGCAAGGCCATGGACAGTCAGCATGGTTTATTCTAGGAAATACCTGCTGCTATACAAAGTGGCAATCCAAGAATAACTTATTTCCATTGTGATTGGAATAATAATGCTGCTGGGAGTCATCGTTGAAGTCAATAAAAGGAAATTGACTATGCCTCTTAGAAGCTGAATAGGAACGGCCGGACATTTAATCAAGAGTCTAAGTCGCTCTAATACTGATGTAAGGAATGTTATTTTTTCTTACATCTTAGACGGCTTGATGGCAGACTGATTGCTAATGAATGACTCTGTTAATGTCAGAGCTACTAACGCTCACCTCTACCGGCTCCTCTAACTCGCTCATGTGGAAAACCATTTCCTGTCCTATTTAGAGCGTCCCACCTGTACAACTAGAGAGCAGAAAGCCTCCCTCTCAAATCACAACACTTTCAAGCAACAAAGGCTCATTTGTGCTCAGACTAAAACATTAACGACTGGATCTCCCCTGTGTTCGTTTCTCATTGCAGACATTGGTATTTAGATCGAGCTAATCACAAATATGAGAACTCTTCTTGTTTGCATTGTTGATGTGAAGCTGTGTGTTCGTTTATGGGAGGCTTAAAGTCTTATGAATAACTTTTACACCTCGTGCAATGTGTGCACAAACATTTTACTGTACATACGCAGCTGTTTTCACTCTCATGACGCACAATAATCCTGGTTTCAGTAATCAAGAGGGGGAGAGGATGCTCTCAAAACCCAAACACATTTCCAGTCTCCAAAGAGATGAGTCCCGTGGTCATAAACTCACACACTCCAACCTCATGTGGTTGTAGCCTTTATCTCCAATACCATCTAAGGAATAGGAGTCTGACTTGGCATGTCAGCGACGGCAAACAGCTTTTCCACAGCCAGACGTCTGCTCAATGTATGAGTGACATAAACTAAAGTCAAATTATAGTATTCACTGCTGTGTTGGACAATGCCAAGTGCTAACCCTTAAGAAAAGACAAATTTGGGGAGTTTTAAGCCACCGATTTGCGGAAGCATACACCAACAAAATGCACATGCTTACAATTACTTCAAGGGGAATCAGGAATTTGCCACTTCTCTGTCCTCCCCTGTTAGAGCAATGCAGGTCCTTCCTAATACTGTTTCAGGCAATGCCTTTCAATTCCAATCCCCTACAGAAATATGGTGAAAATATACAAACTTACATTTTCATCTTTACAAGAATCCCTTGAGGAGTAAACTGTATGACCCTACGCTGAAATGAATAGTCGTTTAATGACTTTCATTGCGGTGAATCTCATTCAGTGACATTTTATGTATTGCAGAATGTTTGGACAAAAACATTATATCCAAAGTGCAATAAAACGTTTCTCATGGGAGAGTATTTCAGGAACACATGCATTTATGCAAACTCTACAGTAAATAAATGTTTGCTTTGATAGCTTTTGTTCAGAGAATAAACAATTTCATGCAATCTTGTCCAGCTGTTGCTCTGCCTAAGGATGTAAAACCCTCCAGGACCCTCTCTAATGATTTTCTTAAAGTAAGATTCATGAGAGGTAAATGAATACTTCACTTCAATTTTTCAAATGCAGAGGTCTACTCTGAGACAGATGAATCCAGACATTTTTCACCTAGGCAGAGAAGAGGACTGAGGTATCTATATAATGTATAACATTATTTGTGTTAACAAGTAAGTTATAGTCTTTTAGAGCATCTCTTCCTAATCTAAACCAGCTGGTTATGTTTAAGTCTTATTATTGAGCCATACACCTACCTTATCAGGACATTAAATGATATATGGAGACCATTAGTGCCAGTTATTATCTCCTCAACAATTATCTAATTCTTCCACATAAGTCACTTTAAATACATAAAAAAAAGCATCCCTCTCTAGCTACACTAACTTGGTTATAAAATAGCATCACACATTGTCATCATCAAACTTACCAGGCCGACAGACCAAAGTCACTGTTCTCTCTGAAAGTCAGCAGAGCCAGAGCAACCAGAGGTTTATAAGCACAGCAACCAGCCCCGCCTGCTCAAGCAGCGACTCAGTGATGATCACACAGAGCCGATGTGTATTTAAACTGTAATGGCACTGATTGCTCTAGTTTATACACAGTTCATTATTATGTAGGTTATATTATAGATACGGTCTTTAAAATTCTGTCTCAGAAAATACTAAACTTTGTGTGTCAGGGTGGTTTCTTTTCTACGTGATTTTACTTAACTAAATCAATATTTATTATATATATATATATATATATATATATATATATATATATAAATATATATTAAATACTTTAATATATATTTTTATCCTTTTCAAAGCAATTCATTAACAAGCTTAAGTCCTCTTAAGCTCATCCTCTTGCTGAATACAGAGTTGTATTGGTATTGAATGACAGGTGTACTTCAGATGGACCTCTGCAATACAAAATGTGTACATGCAGACACTTCCACGCAGTATAGTGTCTACCAAGATACACATGATCATTGCTGCCACATAGATGGGATTATAATCATGTTGATCATCATGTCCATTTAAGAGTGTTTCCATCCAATTAGAGGGTTTTCCCCCTGGCTCAGCTCTACTGGTTTGGCCAAATTACAGAAATGGTTGAGAAATGAAGAGCCACTCCTCTGGATCCATCTGTGGTAGCCAAACTGACTCAGTTGTTTATTGTTTCCAGTGGGCTAAAGACAACCAGAATCCAAATTGCAGGCATGTCTGCACTTCCCAAATTGCATTGTTGTTTGTTTTCTAATTTGCTCCATCACAATATTTATAACTAACTTTGTGTTAGTGTGACATCTGACACGCCTTTGTGTTGCGAAATGATGAACTATCTGATAAAATGACGCCTAAAACGCAGAAATAAAAAACAATCGTTTAGGAAAATTTGAAATCCCTTTTATTTTATCATGCAGACTCTTATACGGTAAGGTGTGAACACCAGGGAAGACATGAAATCATATTACATGAAATGACAAATATACCAGTGTTCTCTACTCAAGTATCGTCAAATGCATGTTCTTATCTCTTTTCCCCTGTTAACCTAACAGACCAGTGTACAGAACAACAGTGGCAAACACAACAAGAGACACAATACAACATACAGTACAATGAAGTAGCCTGTGCCACACACAGTAGTAACATAAGATGAAATAAGATAGTGCTGCTATGAGACAAAATGTGCAGACTCAAGAGTGGCTTGTAACCACTCATGTTATTAACATTACATAAGCAACATCAAATTACATATGTATGATCATTTCTAATGTAAAATGGAAACCAAAATAGTGCTTGGATTATTATTATTTTCATATTCATCCACAATAATGGCATTTATCATTCACAGTTGCTTTTAATCAAAAAGGAGATCAATTTAAAACATCGTCATAATATCCCCATAAAAGTGCAAAGCATAAAAAGTTATCAGACCCAAATAGCAATGTTTGTTAGCCACAGTGTTTTAAAGTCAACCTCTTTTGTGTCAGAGTTAATGTACTGTATAAACCTCATAGAATAACAACTTCAGCTGTCTTACTCTTACTGAGTAGGCCATTTTAAAAGTATGAGTAACACATCAGTGTGGGAAAGGATTTCAGTGGTTTTGCATATTTACAGCATTTCTGTGGTTCACAATTACCCCATTCTAGCTATCAATTTCTATGAGATAAGATTTGTTAACAGAGTGCTGAAAGCTTTTATTCTTAAATTAAATTAAATAAAATGAAATGATCTGATGCTCTTCCTGAAATAAGCCTGAGCACTATGTTAACACTGAAGGCACATGTTTAAATGCAAGGGAATATTCCTAAAGCTTATCAATGTAACAGAAAAACTCCTTTCTGGAAATGAACATATTTCAAGATTTCTCAGCTTCACCACATTACTATTAATCTACTAAGGTAGAGTCAGTGTGTAAATAAATAAATAACCACAGTAGGGTCACCATACAGGCAGGAGTAGCGACAAGTAGCTTAAAAATAACATAAAAAACAAACGCTTCCTCAATGCTTACACATATTACAACTCAAAACAGTGCTGAAACATTTACAGTACATCTCTGAACTTTCTCCGGGCCCTGTCAGCCAGTTTGACCCGTGACACACACACACACACACACACACACACACACACACACACACACACACACACACACACACACACACACACACACACACACTGGTCATTCAGGTCAGGCCACTATTACACATACAGCAACTTCACTGTAAGACTTACCCCTACCTATCCTTTAAATCTTATTAACAACAATTTATTGTTGTTATTGTCTGATGTTACATGATGAGTTATTTGAGAAATAAAAGTCTTACGGGCAGTTTAGTGCATTCAAGTTGACGGTTTGGCTTTCCCCTGATCCTCCACCTTTTTAATTGCCGCCTGAATCTTCGCCTGGTCTCCCAAGAGCTGTCGAGGTTTCACAGGCTTGAGGTTTTCATCCAGCTCAAGCAGCACCGGTATCCCTGTAGGTAAAGTCACACTGGCAATATCCTCGTCCGATATACCTGTTGAAATAGGGACAGTAATATTAAGATTAGACAAACTAGCCACAACCAGGCTTGATGGCTGCCTTTCATTTTGCTTTAGTACAATATGCTTGAATGCTGTAATGAAAGTTTAACACTAAATGTATGACAAATAACACAATTCCTGCCTCTGTGCTTCATACTATTATATAACAGCCAACATGTGTTAAGTTACTGAGTGCCCTGTGCCACATGGAGCCTCCAAAGCTTATGAGTGTAATGAAAGGTCAGAGTGGACTTCATAGCCGCAGCATAATGTAACATAAACTCACTGGCCTTTTTGCATAAGTTCAACTTTCCATTTCTGGAACTGAGATATGTCCTTCCCAATTCAATGACTCTGATGACTAGAAACAGCAGCCAGTCCAGAAACTGGTTGTTTTAATTCATCTGAATGCATTCCCCCGCACACAGACACAAAAGCTGAGAGAGCACTGTTTATAATAGCTTGGGTCTGTGGGTCAGTGGCATACCTTCCAGGTGTTTCAGCAGGGCTCTGCAGCTGTTTCCATGAGCAGAAATGAGCACAGTCCTGCCTTTCCTTATCTCTGGCACCACAGTGCTTTCCCAGTATGGCAGCAGCCTGTCCAACACCTCCTTCAGGCTCTCTGCTCGGGGCAGGCTATCTTTTGGCACGTCGCAGGTGGTGTACCTGCGGTCATTGTAGATTTCAAGGAAGTAAGGGTGGGATTCGTCAATCGGAGGTGGAGTGATGTCATAGCTCCTTCTCCACAACTTCACCTTTTCCTCTCCGTGTTGAAGGGCCATCTCTGCTCGGTTCAAGCCAATCAGGGAACCATAGTGGCGCTCGTTCAGTCTCCAAGCCTTGACCACGGGGACCCACTCCTGACCCATAGCCTCCAGCACCAGCCATGCTGTCTGGATGGAGCGGCTGAGTATGGAGGTGAATACTAAGTCGAACTTGTAGCCCTGCTCCTTCAAGAGCCTACCACAGTCCTGGGCCTCTTTCACCCCATCCTCGCTCAGCTTCTGGTCAACCCAGCTGCAGAAACGGTTCTCTTTGTTCCAGGCCCCCTCCCCATGCCTCAGCAGAAAGAGTTTGTACTTGGACATCCGAGGCACCGGCAGCTGAACCCTGCACACATTCAGCAGAACAAAAAGTTATGCAGTCGGTGATTACACAAGTGTAAATACTGCACAAAGCCAAACAGAATACCACTAATATCCAGCTTACAGTGTAGCCTCACTTAGTCATCTGATCTGAGTTCAGTAGCAGGTACCTCTCGGAGGCAGTGCCAGCGAAAGGTCAGAGGTTGCCCTAAAAAGTCAGACTGAAGGCAGATAGCTACCACAGTTACCCTTATTAACTGCCCCTTATTATTCAGAGGCTGGACACCAAACAGTGATAGACGACGTTAGCTAACTACTAAGCTATATGCAAGTATGTCGGCGGATGGTGTAAAGCTTTCTTAGCAAGCCTAAAAAGGATGGATGGACGTTTTGCTGTGTAAATGACCGTCAGTACAGCGTTATGTATGGCCGCTCAGACCACGGTAAAGACAAGATAAACACACAAAAACAGAACTGCAGGCGTGTGGCGACCTCAACCCAAAATTATCCGAATATTGTGAAAAATGTCCTCTTACCCTGCGTGGGTTTTAAATCCGGCTTAAATGCAGCTAGTAACGTTACAGCCGTAAATGTTGACAGGCCATGTACAGCAGCGTCCCCCTGAACGTTGATGATTGACACTGCGTTCCTCCAATCGGAATGGCGGATATCACATGTGGGCGGGGCCGTTGTCGAACGTTATGCCCATATTAGGAGGAGTTGTAACGGTCAGGCACGTTCGCCGTGGAGGGAGGAAGGAGGGAGACGAAGGGGGAGTAACCAGGGTTACATCGGCGAGGTACACCCTGCTAGTAGCTAACTGTTGATGTTTTGTTGGTGGGCTTTGTGGTTTACAGCTTGGTGAGTATTTATGGTGTTTGTAAGAGAGGGACAGCAGTTTAACACAACTTTGTTCATAGGAAGTGAGAAGGGACAGTGTGTTTTAAGTGTGTGTGTGTGTGTGTGTGTGTGTGTGTGTGGGAGAACAGTGAGGACAAAGTACATAATATGACTAAATTACACTTATGTTTAAAATAATAGTAGTTTGGGTAAATTCTGCCACTTGTTGTCCACTCTAGCGTAATTATAACCTTACATTAAGCTGCTTCAACACTTTTTGAATGTTTTTTTGTAGTCAGGTTTATTTTTTTAAACCAGGTTTCAACACTGAATGTGAAGCTGGGTTTAAAAAAATGCTTCATCATTTCACATACACACACAAAAAAAAGATTAATTTACATTCACTCCCATGAGATTAAACCCTAACTCAAGTCTCTATCATTTTTTTTTTACCCCAAATGTCCCATAATGTCACGCTAAACAATTTTAACTTGACATAACATAGAGGCGGGCGACCACACCACAGTACACACAGTTTATATGTGTGTATAGTGATACATATTCAGGAAAAAACATGTATACATTTATCTAATAGGGGATTTTTTTGACGATAAATACCCTCAGACAACATAACATAATCCATATAAGTATAGAAATACTGTATGGAAAGCGACTGCGTTCTAGTTTAAGACACAGAGGACCATTCTTCTCCGAGCAATGTCATTTCCTTTTTTATTAATTGGTACACAAATCATAACATTGCTTCTTCTCATCATAATGTCTAAGTTTAATGCCGAATCCATTTTCCAGGATGCTGTCAACACTAGCTGCCCCAGGAATGTGTATTCATTTTGTTTATCTATCCAACAGGCACAAGACACAAGAATACACAAAAATGTTGTTCTACATGTTTTATCTTGTAGCAGTGGGAAATGTATAAATTGGACAAATTATGATTTGTAATTGTAGACAAATAATCTATATTTTCTCTCATTGTTGTCTGTTTATTGTTGTATATTGCAGAGGTCAAAAAAAGCAAGTTAGTAACAATATTACAGGCGTCCGGAGACAGCCAATAGTGGTCTGTATTAATGAATTCATATGGATGCTAAAAACTACAAAAGCAATACAGTGCTCTAATATATTAAATACATACGTTTTTCATAATAAATCACCATACATTATGTAAAAAACTATATGTATGAAATGAATTATCATTAAAGAGGTCATATTAAGCTTGTTTTCAGGTTGATACTTGTATTTGTTTGGTCTACTATAATAGGGTCATATGCTTTTTGCGTTTAAAAAACACATAATTTGTCTCATACTGGCTATTCCCGCAGCACCTCTATTCACCCTCTGTTAGAAACAGATTTTGTTTCACACAAAAAACTATAAAACACACTAAAGCACATGTTTAACCTCCAAAAGCATAATATGTCCTCTTTAAGTTAAACATATTAACTATTGCCATTTACACAAACACTTTAAACATGAACTGTGTGAACTTGTTACTCTGGTCTTCATTTTCACTGTGATTATAGGGTGAATAACAGTCACATGTTTCACTGGTTCCACCTGTTTTAGAGCAGCAAACTCCAGCACAAAGAAATTCACCACACAATCTACTGCCCGGCATCAAACAGCTTCTTCCTGCCCTCCATACCAGACATGGCGTCCACATTCTTACGCCAGTCAGTCACCTCTTCCTTCTGTGGAGTCAAAAGATGATTTTGAATCAGCTACTTTTGACTAAACCGGAGTACTTGTAGCCATTTCAATACAAATAGGCACACTGTCGGGGGATATGCGGATACATGCTTTTTATTGTTAAGAGAAGAATGAAATTCCTGCACTAAACATTACTGCCTCAGCTGCATTCTTACTTCCTCTACAATTTTTGTAACAAAGAAAACCCCTTACATGTCATGTCTACTTTCTAGTTCCTTTTTAAACATTTTACCAGTTCAGATTTCAGTCAGGGTTTCATTTTAGACGTCATGTTTAGCTGTTTTCTGCATATATATGCCAGAAATGTCTATCTTTGGCTTTAGCATTGGTGTTTAATTGTTTTATTATTTGTGTGCTACATTTAAAATACAAACAGAGGACTCCAAGGAAAGCAGCACTGATACGGAGTGGACTATCCTCACTGAAGACAGTCAATTGAAGTGAAACCACATCATATTTTGAAGTAAAGTTAAAGCAAGTAAGCCTTACCTTCTCTTCCTCTTTCTTCACAGTCTTGAGGTTGGCCTTGAAGTCCACAGACTCTTTGACCCTAGCGCCCAGCAGAGCTCCCAGCATGGCGTCAGCAGACACTCTCACCCTCCTCAGGTTTGGTCTCTTCATCTTGCCCTTCAACTCATAGATCTTCTGGGACAGTTCTTGTATCTTTTTCCAGCAGAAATGACAAACCCAATCTCAACATTGCCCTTAAAATGTGCAATTACCAATGAATATTGGTTACATACATACATTCCTTTAAATTTGTAAGCTGCTTAATCTTATGTGAAAAAAGATTGTACTCAGACGGATATTCACAAATATTACTCACCTCCTTATCATTTTTTGTGACTTTAGAGTTAATGTCATACCGTTCTTCATCAACCACATCGATCTTCTGGTGCAGTTCTTTACAAAGATTCTGTGGACAGAAACCTTTACCGTGTAAGACTCGTTACTGGTCTTAATGGAAACAATGACATGGCAGGTAACAATACATAGAGACAGTGCAACATCTGTATGGGCAATGATTTGTTTCTAAAATGCACCATAATATTGTGTAAATTCAAAGTTTAGAGAAGCAGGCAGATTAATCCAAGGACTCCACTGATCCCTATTAAAATTGTTGACATTGAGGTCTATGGATTATCCTGATTAACTCAAGACATCGTTCTTGGCAGGAGGCATCAGTGTTGAGGTTTTCAGATGTCATTTTCAATGCTTTGACCGCCACAAGCTAAATTACATTCACCTTGATTGTGTTTGGGTGGAAGCAGTCTGGTGGTACCTCAAAACCTCTGCAATTAAAGTTCTGTCGTCTACTATTCGAGACCGAGTCAAGGCTGAGTCCAAAGAGGTTTCATTGCCAGTCCAAATGAGACAATTTGCCACTTAGTTGAGTTTTGGCAGCCAGGCAAATGATTTCAAGTGACATTAACTATCCATCTGCTAACCATGGTTAACACCAGTTCTAGAGGGATTTTGAACTAAACCAATACCCTTTTTCTGAACAAGCATGTTTCATCAATGGTTTTGTTTTGAAGGAGGAAGTTACTTCAGAAAAAAACAAACATATATTGCTGGACTTGGACGAGACCAATTAGAATATTTGTTGAGACCAACGGCCAAGTCCGAGACAAGTCTGAGCGCAAATACCAACGAGTCCGAGACAATAGAAAAACGTCTACAGCATACAGGGAAAAAGTGAAGTGTTTTTATGTGATTTAATGTTGACTTTCTTTAAAGCCAGAACAAAAAAAAGAAATGAAATAAAATGCTTCAATGATAAATGTACCTGTAGATCCTGCAAAGAGAGGCCGGATGTTTCGAGCGCTGGGACTCTCTCAGCGAGGATTCTCTCTCGTTCATCTTTTCTGAATTGCTTTTCATTGTCCAGCATAGTCATGGCCTTCTTTAGTAGTTTGGTCTGGTGCACATATAAAATTACACCTCAGTCAGACAATGTATGGTTTACAGCACTTAAAAATGTAAACAGTTTTTTTTACAGCATTACTATCCAAGACTAACACACAGTTATACATAAAATACCTTCAAGAACAGTCTGCGAGATGCAGAGATCTTTGGCTTTGGTTTCTGGAAAAGAAGACGGTATACATGTCGGATTCCTGATAAAATATTTCACACATAATAATAATTTCCCAGTGTCCATTTTCTTTACAGGCATGTTTTGCTGTATTATTTCAGCAAACACAAAAAATGACAACATAAACAGTACTGACTACAGCCTGAGTAGAATTTGATTAATACCTTTATATTTTAACTTGTATTTATTTTTCCTTTGTTTTTGATGATATTCAAGTGTTAAGTCAATCAATTTCATGTCTAGTCAGGGCACTTTTACATATTTATGGATGTAGAAATTCCACACATTCTGTCTTAGACAGCAGAATCAACTTACCGAGGGCCTGTCCAGTGAGGAAGGTGTTGTCCATAATTTAAGAAGAGAAAGAGAAAAAGTGCAGTTTGTTACATTTCTGGAATCTCACATGTTAAAATATGAGTTATGGTGTGAAGAAAGTAAATGAGACGTGTTCTTACGCTTCAGACATGGTTGCGGTTCTGTGTGTCTCCCCTTGTCAAATCTATCAAAGTAAAAGAAAGTAAGATGAAATGTATTTGTGATTTTACAGAAGAATACACGTGTATATATATATACGTCAGCTCATTTACTGTGTACAGGAAAAAGCTGAATTAAGCTAAAACATCATCACTTCTGACTAAGAAAATCTTACATATCATAGGTTGCAGTTCCACAGCAGGGGAGATCCACAATGTATGACATTGTCTAAAGGTCAAACCTACTGTATGAAAAAATACTCTCTAATACAAAGCAAAAAGTACCTCTACTGTTACTACAAATTACCAGACAAACAATCAATAAAGACCAGAAAGGCCAGAATTCACATTGCTTTTTACAGACATTTTTAACAACTTTTAATTTAATAACAAAAAGTCTTCAATTTCAGATCATTACATTAAAATGACACTACAACATTACAATCAGTGGGAATAGGTTGCAAAGAAGAACACATAAATCCTCTTTGTGAGGTGGTATTTATAACTTCTACTTCTGTTCAAGGTAGTTGATCTCAAACTCACTCACATGTTAGGAGATTTTTGAATGAGACAGCTTTCATTTGAGTAAAAAATGTTACATTAAGTTGTAAGAGTTATAACTTGCATTAACATAAATGCTGTTTTAAAAATCCAGCCATGCCTTTTTTAAAATACTATTGAATTTGGAGTAGCATCCGCTCCCTCAACTTTTAACAAGAGTATTGTAATACAAAGCCTTCATTTGGTGTTATCCCTTAATGTTCTGTATTTCAAAATAAAGCTCCTTACCTTATACAATAGGTGACAAATACTCACAGGCGTCTTTTTCTGAGACGAGAAGGACAGAAAGAGGGTAGATATATAGATTCCAGCGCTCATGTGAGTGGCTCACTAAAATAGCCCCACCGTCCTCGCCATTCTTGTGCTGCGTCTCTGACATCCCATAAGTATGAAGTGTGAAATTTCTTACTTGGACCGTCCACCTGCGATGCTTTCTTAGTGCCTCTGTCTCCTCGCTAAGGAGGAGAAGGCAAAGCTTGAAGGAGCTTTAGTCCGACATTATGTGTGAGAAATTAAAGTTGATCCCACGTATAGTCCAAGGTGATTATTATATTACACATTGGAAGAAAACAGTGGCAGGATTGTCATCTTTCAATTGAGAGAACATTGTTGGTTTCATGTTTGTATCAAGTACATAAATATGAAGATAACATACTCTCACCGCAATCACTTGAACAAAGACCGCAATCATACCATTTCTTTTTTAGCATTATGTCTTTAATAGCCGATACATTTTGAATGTTTGAGAAACTAGATGGCAAGACAGCAGAAACACATTAGGAGTTGTGTCAGAGTATGCTGCGATGGTTTGAAAGAGTTTTGCTGCCATCACAAGTCTGCAAACAGTCACTGCACCACTAATACAAGGCAAAGAAAACACAACTGTTCCTAGAAATACTGATGTTTTGTCTGAAAGTCTAACTTCTGAAAATAGTACCAAAGTCAGTATTTTAAAAATAGTTTCAAACTTTATATAAACATCAGTTAATTTTCCTTTATTTCTATGAAATCACTGCTAGCAAGGTCATCGTGGTTACTATCGGCAGTTCATAAATGGATATAATAAAGGTAAGACACTAAGTAATGTTAAGAATTTATTATAAGAAGAAGAAGCTTTCTTAAACAATAATGTTTCTTTAATTGCCGGATGCGTCAAACAGCTTCTTCCTGCCCTCCATACCAGACATGGCCTCCACGTTCTTACGCCAGTCAGTCACCTCCTCCTTCTGTTGGTAACATAACATGTCATGGACATACAGTCGAGATAAAACTGATAATTTGACCAAAAAATAGTTGGTTTCAAAGACCTATAAAGCTAAAACCAGGCTTACCTTTTCCTCTTCCTTCTTGACTGTTTTGAGGTTGGCCTTGAAGTCTATGGACTCCTTGTGTTTGGAGCCTAGCAGGACGCTCAGCATGGCTTCAGCGGAGATCTTCACTCTCTTCAGGGTCGGTTTCTTAAACTTACTCTGGATCTCAATGATCTTCAGATTCATGTCCCCAATCTGGAAATCAGGTGATAGAAAGGACTGTGCTGTTGCTATTCTACCATTGTGGGTAGACTATACAGTACACACATACATGAACAGAGTGTAGACGGAAGCTCAAAGATTCATAAAATCTTCCCCACCGGCTCACTTGTTCACGTCCATATATTCATTTATTAACACATTTTATCAATATATCTACTTGTAATTAATGTACAATTGAGAGTTGAAAGTTCGCAGTAATTTAAAACTAATTTAATTTTAAAAAAATGTAACAGGGTTTCTTTTAATGCTGCACAAAGAAACTCATATGTGGACTTGAATTAAGATATTTTTTGTCAAACAAATTGTTTAGATTTTGTAGTGGATAACTGTATACATAACACTTGTTCAAGTAATCAAATTCCTATAAAGTTATCAGCTTTTTAAGGCTGGGTCAGTACAACGTCGGAGAAACTGCAATATACTACTACAAAACAAATTATATTTTTTAATTTAATTTTTTAAGTAATCTATTGTGATATCTGTTTTACTGGCAGTGAACCTCATGCTTGCTCAATACCCCATATTTGATATATAGCCAATCATTGTCCAATTTATTATTGTTCTAACCCTGATATAAAATATAAAGTGTTACTGTCTGGGGTTTAATTGTATCAGTGTAATAATTTATTGGCTCCAAACAAGTTAGCCGTCCATAATTTACTGCAGTGTCATGTCTTGGTTTGAGTCAGTTGAATAACTCTTGACTGATTACAGCGGAGCAGGTTGTGTGCTCGCAGCCAAATGGCAAATTTCCACTTTCGCCACAGCTTTCTTTCTGAAACACAACTGTGTGCTGAGTTCCAAAATATTTTATATTATTATTATTTGACAAAGTCATAGAGTGCATCCCTGAAGAACAACAGGCTGTTTAAGAGGTCTTGTTATTCTCAGTGCTGCCACTTGGAGGCAGTGTTCGTTCTTGTTTAGCTCTGTTTTATTGTGACCCTGTCGTCATAGTAAAAACACTGACTGCAGTAACTTAAAAACATTTCACATGCATCATTTTATCTTCCTATTCATTCTCGAGCTATTCACCTCCTTTTGGTTTTTGGACACCTTGAGGCCGATATCATACCGCTCCTCATCTACTACATCAATCTTGTGGTGCAAGTCTTTGCAAAGATCCTGTATAAAAACAAAAAAATAAAAGACACCCTCTAGTGGTCATACAATAAACACAAACTTAAAAAGGAAGAACTGTGAATTGTGAGAGAAGAATGTTTAAAAAACATTATGATGAAATAAAATACCAGCATCTCTTGCAACGACAAACCAGACAGATTTAGAGGAGGAACTCTCTCTGCCAGAGCAGTTTCTCTTTCCTTTATCTTCTGCTCTGTATCCTCCTGCAGCATCTGAGCAGCGACTGCCAACAGTCTGATCTGAAGCAGAAATCAAAATAAATCGATGAAAAAGGCTTTTCCCCATATAATCAGGATCTCTAGATTAGACCAAAAGTTCACATACATACCAGAATTTTTAACTAATTCATAAAATATGATATTTTTTACATTTGCAAATTGTATGTATAATGCAGTTTGCAATGCAGATCACAACCACTTCTCATATTACAAATACTGTACACACCACTTCTGTATGCTAGCAACCTTGTTGCATATCTTTCTTTTCAAATATTTACAGTATTTTTTTCCTGAGGTTTTGAGAAGTGCACAATGATATGCTTTTCTAACATTTTATATGAAAATCCAATTCATTTTAATAAATGCAGATAATAAATAATATTTAATAAAGAAGAACTCACCTTCAACCCCAGCTTTCGAGAGGAGGAGATCTTTGATTTTTTCTAGAATTTAGACATAAAATATTTTCATTATAGTCAATGCTCTATATGTATTTAATGACAATAGACAAATAGAGGATTGAAAAGAGTACATATGAAAGATATTGTGTGATAGATACTCACAGGTCTGTTGGAGCAATAACAAGGGAGAAAATACATGTCAGAATATTTACGAAATGAATATCAATACATTGTTTTACAGTATACTTTAAAGGTGACAGTGAGTGCTATTAAATAAACCAAAAGAGATTTTACTCACCCATCAGCCATGGTTGTCTTAAATTCCCCCACTAAAACTGGAAAGTAAAAGAAAATGATAATGATGATAACACCTAAATTGAGCTGTAGGCTGAAGATTAATGACCTCTTAAACCTCCCAGGTCAAGGTATTTCACCCACTTTAAACATTCATTGGTCCATTAAAGCTGGGCGCACAAAGATATTTACTGTTTACTCAGTTGTTCCCCTGGTGCCGTTTAAGGTGGATTGGCATATTTTATGTACCAAACAATTAAAAATTTGCTTTTATACATTAAATTTTTCTTACTTTATTGTGAAAATGTACTGCATGTGTATTCAAAGAATGATATAGACAGATTTGTTTTCTTCCCTTTCATGTGCAAATGAAAATTCACAAGAATCAAATGTTATTACAAATTTAAATACATATTGCAACTAAATTAAATAATAGGTTATGTGCAGAGTTTGGTTTACTGTTTCATTTACATGCTAAATAATTAAAAATGACTTTAATAGCTTTAAAAGCACTTATGTAATATGCAAAGCCTTAAAGTGCTGAGTCAGTACATGTGTTAACATAACTGACAAGAGTCTCTGCATAGGTGACAAAAAAGGTGAATGGCCAGATAATCCACAGGCATGTAAAATGACAATGTTCAACTTGCTGTTAATCTTTACCAACAATATCCAGATGAAATAACAAAGTAAAAACAAAACTTTTCTCTGAATTATCGAGATTTTATTCTACACAAGTCGGTCATTGTTTTAAACTCATAGCATGCTCCTTAGTTAAAGGTACTCCTCAGTCAAAGAATTAAGCTCAACACTTCAACATACCACAACAAATTTACACAAGTATCAGGATAGTAACAACTCTGTACCTTATTGAAACTGAACAGCTCCTTGCGTCGTACCTCAAACCTGAAGAAAAGTGTGTGTGAGGGAGGCAGCAAGGGACTTTCTGAGAGACAATGGAGAATAATCAATCAGATTTATAGTGTCTCTGCCAAATGTGAATGGCTCACTAAAATAGACTCCTGTCTGTACTACTTCTTCCCTCGGTCCACCAATGGTGACATTTACTGTTGCACATAGCATCACCACAATATTCAGACAGGAAAGGGGGTAATAAAACTTCATTTGTGTATCTTGTGTGGTTTTGACACCACCTGTTGGTGCAAGTGACACTGAACATTTTAAGAGCTGAACACTTTAATGCTGGGTCAGTGTCAGACATTTGCATTTGAGCAGGGCCAGCTTGCCGGGAGTGTGGATCAAGTTGTCAAGGAGTCAAACGGAAAGAAGAAATCAGTGCTAGTATTCACTTGTTCTGTGCCTTTATTTATAGAGCAAACAGCACGGTCCAAGTGTGAATCTTGGCCATCACAAGATGTCCATCTATGGGCACTTAATAGTGTCACCAACTGAGACCGAAGAAGTCAACTTCAATATAAAAAGTATTCTCATTGCTTAGTTCATGGTAATCATCCTAATTCTATTTTTAAGAAACTAAATAAAGATTAAAAACCTGAGAATTAATGAAGCAACGTAAACCTGTTTTCCTTTTAATCAAATAAAGCCGCGGTGTAGCGTAGTAGCATAGTGTCGCGCCCATTTGGAGGTCTGGTCTGATTTATTGCTGCAACTTTAAAAATGATTCACTTTATCTCCTTACATCCATTTGAATGTATTGTCTTACTTTCACCACATCGTCCCTAAAACTTAGAGTAGTGTAACGTTGAGTGCGCAACCTCTAGCCACCTTACTGTATATACATCACTATTCCTTTGCATGTGTGTGATGACACATACCTTTATAGCCTGATAGCATATAACTGCGCCACCTTGGAGGTAGTGCAACAAAGCCAAACATATTCTGGTTTTATTTAGGGGAGGAATGGAACAAGGACAGGTGCTGGTTAGGACTTGATGCTGTGTAAACTGAGACAACCAGAGTTCAATCTGCGTCATTGTTGTAACAGGGAGTCAAATGTCAGGCCCTTAAAGGATAGATCAGCAGTTAATGAATAAACAATACTAGCAAAGTACAAACCTGGGGTCAGTAGTATTTAAATCACTTCTAGTACTGGATATAAGGGAGTACTCAAGATAATTACTATTGCACTTCCATCATAAGAGACAGATTAGAAATAAGAATGGTCAAAACTGATTCCTCACTGTTAGTCCCTTACATGGGTAAGAACACTGGATCCTACATTTCCCATAATGCATTTAACAGCATCTGTTTGTTATGCTGCATTCACACAATATCAGCAGAATGTAGAGAACAACCTCCCATTGAACCTCCTGTTATTCTGACATGTTCATTAATGTTCATGCATGGTTATCTTCACTGTTTGTTCATTGAAATTGGTTTTATGTATTTGGAACAGTTTGTTAACCAGTGAAAGCTATTTTTATATTTGCTGAATCAGTTGTATCTTCATTAAGGGTTATTTTCTCACACTTGACAAAGGACCTACAGAGCCACAGAAGGTATTATGTAACTGTTTACATAGGCCAAGTTGTACTCACTTTACCTATTGAACTGACTTTTATGTGCCACCGCCCCCCTTTATACTTCTTTGTGTATCTTTGCAGTTGTGCATATACCACTTTAGAAGTGGTATCACTAGAGTACAAAGTGAAAGTAGAGTTATTCCAATACCAATGGACCAATACCACGTAATTTATTAGCCCCAAAACGGGACCCTGCTACACATATTAGACAAAGAAAAGCAGCAAATCTGGAACTATATGTGAATATGTTTAAACAATTAATAAATAATAAAATTGTTGCCAATGAGTTTTCTTGCTCAGTTAATCGACTGAATTGTTTCAGTTCCAATTCTTATTTTTAGCAATCATAGTAGTGTTGATTGGCACTGTGTGCTCTGGTTGCTTTACTGAGGGTTTATTGCAGCCCTGAACCTGCGACCTCTCTTATTTTTGGATGTTCAAATTTCTTAATGTGAATGTTACGTCTGCTTTGATTTACAAAGATGATTTAACAACTTTGTTCTCAGCTGTTACTGTTGACAACTGCCTTGTCCTGGCACTGTCGCTACTTTATGGCTGATGTTGTGTCCCAGATAGTGTCAAGAAGCAACTCGGATAATAAAGTAGAGATTTAAAAAGAAAAGTGCAGCATCAGTATTCTGTGTTGATCAGAAGTATTTATTATCATGACATACACCAGTGTTTTCCCAACACAACGAGCACATCTCACTATATACTTAAATGTTATGAAAGTCTAGACAATTCAAATGTTTTCCAAGTCCCGGCACCAAAAAAATGCAAAAATCTATACACACACACACATATTGACTTACTATTGTGAGCAGGGGCATTTAATTTTAATTAAATTAACTTAATTTTCCTCTCTATTCTTGTCCACTGTAAATCAGCATTTGTATTTAAAATGTCCACAAATATAGTCTGTCTACTGTCCGGCATCAAACAGCTTCTTCCTGCCCTCCATACCAGACATGGCCTCCACGTTCTTACGCCAGTCAGTCACCTCCTCTTTCTGTTCATAAGAAGAAAATAATTCTTAGTGATAATGTACTTTCACATAAATAACCCCAAAATAACACAAGCAATACCACAGCATCGAGCCATAATTAAAGGTCCAGCGTGAAGAATTTAGTGGCATCTAGCGGTATAGTTGCTGACTGCAACTCCCTCGCTTCACCCTCCCCTTCCAAGCTTGAAGCAGAAACTACAGTCGCTGCGAAATGCGCTAAAACTGCAAACGACCATATCTAGAGCCAGTGTTTGGTTTGTCCCTCCTGGGATATAAATGTCTCATTCTAAGTTAACAAAAACATAACAATTCCTATTTTCAGATGATTATACAAAAAGAGAACATAGTAGAACATAGTGAAACGTAATAAAAACCTACTTATGAATATTATATTCAATTTCTGCCAATAGATCCTCGTTAATGTTACACACTGGATATTTAAAACCTAATCTAATCTTAAAACCAAGGAGTCAACCCACCCTGACATAATCTTGAAAATTAAAAAAAACAGCATAATTCCAATTCAGTTTAATTAAAAACAAATCAATCTGATGTTTTAGCAACACGTTCACTTACCTTCTCGTCCTCTTTCTTCACTGTCTTGAGGTTGGCCTTGAAGTCCACAGACTCTTTGACCCTAGCGCCCAGCAGAGCTCCCAGCATGGCGTCAGCTGAAATCTTCACCCTCTTGAGAGCAGGTCGCTTCATCTTACCCTTCAGCTCAAAGATCTTCTGGGACAGATTTTCAATCTGCAGGAAACAATTAAACATGTAAGTAAGTATGCATTTGTGCCAGTTTAAGCAAATCTCAATAGATCACAGTGAAAATGAATTCAAAAATGTATGAAAGCTTCAGCAAGTAAGCTTTTAAAACTTAACTAACAATAAATATAAATGAATAAGACCAATAAACACATCCATAAAGTAAATAATGAATTAAATCCAAATGTAAATCAAATTAATTTGAATAAACATGTACCTCCTTGTTATTTTTGACCACTTTGACATCAATGTCGTAGCGGTCTTCATCTACCACGTCGATCTTATGGTGCAGTTCTTTACACAGAGCCTGCAGACCGAGAGAGAATCATATCATGTTTATTGAACAAAATAATGAGAGCCCACCAGTCTTCTGGCTTGTTGCAAACTCAGAGGTTATAGTCTGTTGATGCAACACATGACACCAGGAAGCCTGGTGTCCTTCATTACTACTGTGTTAATTGTTACACTCATTATTAGTGGTTACTTGTTATATTTTTTATAGGTTAAAGTTTTGCACTACATAATAGTGTCAGCTAAATGCTCAAAATATAAAATGTTGACGACAAGGCACCTTGTCCTCTAATACACCTACTGCATATGAACACGTTGTATGCATGGCATCTACATACGTCAGAGGGATGCTTGTGTGTGGAGCATTTGAACCATGTATGATGGGTAGCTCATTCAGTGACCTGCACATACCTGAAGGTCCTGCATGGACAAACCAGACAGCTGAAGCGGAGGAAGTCTCTCATTCAAAGTAGCTTCTCTCTCCTGCTTCTTTTCCTCCTTCTCCTTCTCCAACATCACAGCTGCCATTTTCAGCAGCTTAGTCTAAATTTAATGAAAAGTGAGAATTATTAACAGATCATATCTTAAATATCAGTGGGGATCATAATTTTTTTATCAGTTGGAGTAAAGACGATAAATACCTTGAGAGCCAGTCTGCGAGATGCAGAGATCTTAGATTTTTTCTACAAAAAAAGCAGTAGACAAATGAATCAGCAGTTATACAACAAAACGTAAGTTTCTAAATGAGAATTGTTTTTATACCTAACTATCATTAATTATATAAATGACTTACCGGTCTATGGTGGACATTATGACATGGAAAAGGCAAAAGAAATAAGATGAGTGTTAGTATCAATATTATAAGGATACAAATAATTACTCTGATTTTACAAATACTGATTTACATAATAAAGAAAATCATAACTTACGCCTCAGACATGGCTGGCTTTTGTCTGTAAAAATGAAATCATTCATACCAAAGTCAGAAAATGCATTATTCAGACACAGTATTAGTAGCAGTACATACATGCAGTAATATAAACACAGCTTCATTTAAGTAGTTATTTAATTAGAGTCTTTTTCATTCTGTTTATTCACATCTTGTTGACTGAGCCAAGAGTCATCCAGACCTCAGTATGGTAACATACCAGCATTAAGCCTTTAAATTAGCAACACTTCACACTTGAGTGCTGCAGATTGTTTGAATGATATACATTTTTTAACCAATTTGGAGTAAATTCATTTTCATGGCAGCCAGATCAGAATCAAAATCCAATGTATCTTTTGCCAAAGAAGAGAAATAAATGTTACAAATGAGGATGTGGATCATCATTGTAATAAAAAACATTTCCTGTTACCTTTTGTTAAAATTGTTGAAGATGATTAGGTTCGCTGCTACTGTAATAAAGTCATATTATAATTGTAATACCTTGAGTGAATTTAAACATTAAATTGATCAACTAAATGTTTTTGGTCTTGTCATATATAATATTTGGTAACCTGTGTCAAATCTAACATTTACAGTAAATTTGCACATTTATCTTTGTCCATCTGCCTGATGAGGCTCCTGTTGGTTGTTAATTGATTCCAGATAATTGCAACAGATACAATTTTCTTAAATATCAACACTATCATCATCAGAAAAATCAACATACCTTTTTTAATCTGTGCAGAAAACCTGTTGTGGTGAGCAGTGTCTGTCTTTAAATGACAAGAAGACAACTTCAAGTCAAATTTAATGCCTCCTATTGCCTTCTGTGAGTGGCCAACTAAAATAGCCTCCTCTGTCCTGACAATATACTGTATATCACTACACTTCTACATGGCATCCCCCGACACCAGGTTTACAACTATACCCCCATTGCTCGGCATTAGGAATACAGGATGTTGGGACAGCCCTGGCCCCCATTAACTTATCTATCTTAGTCTGTCTTCTTTAGTTGAATAAAATAAAACAAATTAAATTATATGAATAAAAATGTAATCTGGAAATCTGAACAAACCAAAGAAATTCAGAAATGTTTTTATGGTTGTTTAATCAGCATCACATATATTACAGATAATGCCATCAACGCCATCATCTGTATAATACAAATACTGCACTTTAAAAGACACACTCATGAAGCTAATCAGCCTGTTCTTTAGCACGCTTTCAATATGCAAAGGCTACAATTTATATTATTACAATCATGGCATACACTGGTATTTTTTACATAAAAGTTGACATTAAAGCAAGATCAGACAACTATTTATAGTTATACTAATACAGTATAATCTAAAAAAGTGCATGTATTTAATCTTTTACAAATGGCATCATTCTTTACAAAAACCTTTTTATTCAACCCTGCAACGCAAACCTTCTTGATTTTTGACAATGATTCTGAAATGAAGATGAAAAAAGAAAACTGAACATTGCCAACATAAGGTGTACTTCAGGAAAGATGATGTGTTCCCAAAATATTTGTTACACAAAAGCACCTTCTTAATTAGAATTAAACAGCTTCTTCCTGCCCTCCATACCGGACATGGCCTCCACGTTCTTACGCCAGTCAGTCACCTCTTCCCTCTGCAATGACAGAGATTAGATTGTATTGAAATGTTTTTTTAACACAGTTTCTTATTTTGTGGATGATTTCGTCTCAACCACCGACTTTACCTTTTCATCCGCCTTCTTCACTGTCTTAAGGTTGACTTTGAAATCACCCTTCATGAGTTTTGAGGTGTCAGTGTGTGCACCCAGCATGTCGTCTGCAGTTTTCTTCACCCTCTTCAAGCTGGGCCTCTTTACACCCTTCAGCTCGATGATCTTCTGATTCAGTGTCTGGATCTGTACAAACATAACAACAAAAAAGAACAATAACCACACAACTACAACATCCTGATCAGTAAATGTATGAACGTTTATTTGTGACCTACTGATTCAGGTTCACTGTACCTCTATCTCATTTTTGGCTACTTTAATCTCCATATCATAACGTGCTTCATCTACAACATCAATTTTACGATGTAGGTCTTTGCAAAGGTCCTGTTAAGAAAAAGAAAACTGTCAAGATGATGTGAAATAGTAATAACTGGATTGGTATGGTTTACTTTGTCAGTACCTGGAGCTCCTGGACTGACAGACCTGACAGCTTCAGTGGAGGGTAGCACTCACTCACAACTCTTTCCTTCTCGTGTTTCTTTGCTTCACTTTCAGCCACCAGCATAGACGCTGCCTTTTTCAGCAGTTTGGACTGTAAGATAGTATTGCGTTAATAGGCCTGGATAAAAACTAAAGCAGCATGTGGCATACTGTAAAATACTGTTCACATGTGGCCTAAAGGTCTACAAGACCCACCTTCAAAAGCAGCCGGCGTGTTGCTGAATATTTTGACTTTCTCTGTGAAAGATAAGAACTTTTTATACATCAAATACCGTCATTAATATAGGTTTTCAATAGGGATGCACGATAATTATCGGGACTGATAAATTATCCGCCGATAATGTGAAATTTATCTTATTATAAATTATTGGAATAATTAAATAACAGCCATTAAATTATCGGTTGTTATGAATGATCATTTATTTTGAATTCTTATGCAAAACCATTGATAGGATTTATGTTCGACGTTTTTTTTAAGGAACTTTTTTTCTTTGTTTGCGTTGTGTTAACAAAATTATATATAATAAGATTTGGTTAGAACAGAGCTCACTACGTCTCAACCCTTCTTACTCTCAGCTGTGTAAAAACGACAGGTTATAAACTTCTTTTTAAAATACAAAAATACAAAATGATCAGTTATCTTATTGGTATCGGCCGTGAGAAGCAGGTAATTACCGGTTATCGGATCGACTTTAAAAACATCCATATCGTGCATCCCTAGTTTTCAAATGTCTTTTTAAGTATAAGATGCATAATTCTGAATCAGTATCAGTATTATTATTTCATGATTGTGAAAGAAATCATTTTCACTCACCGGTCTTCATCAACATGATAATAAAAGTAGACAAAAGCAAAGAAATAACCAAATATGTATTATTATTAATTAATATATACAAATAGTGTGCAGAATTGTGGCTATATTTTGAGGCTACTCACCCCTCAGACATGTCTGGAGCTTATAGTGCCTTTGGACCAGAAACAAAGAATAATCTTTTTTACTGCATTGCATGAATTTTTAGATTTACAGACAAGACCTAGTATAAATAATTATTATAAATATTTATCAATGTCTCAATAGTATTTTCTACTGTTAATGTTAATCCAACTAGTGAACAGTTTTATTTATTATAATACTGTCCAGGGCTTTCAGATACTCTTCCAGTATTCTTCCAGGGCCACATAATCCTTCCTATTGTTATTAAGGGCTGATGAGGGGCCTGTTGTACAGCTATATTTGGCCACATTGCCGCCGTGCTTTGCTGTGTCCCAGCAGCTGCTGTGGCCTTGATGATGCCAGAGAAAGCCAAGCAGCAGAAAGGTTTGGCAGCCGAGAGAGGCACAACACCAAACAAAAAAAAAAACCTGTTCTCAATCTTGATTCTTTAGGATCCACAACACTGCTCATTTTCTATTTTACTAGGTTGTTCATTGCATTTATCCTTTAAATGAGCTGTTAATCAACATAATCTCTTTTATCATATTTACTCCCTCGTCTGTTTCTCTCACTTTATCTGACCTTCTCTGTGTAGTCGTGACTTTACAATGACATTACTTCCTATTTTTAATTCATTTAGACATGGCATTATGTATTAATAAATAAATGTAGGTGTTAGAGAAGACTGAAAGCATTTCAATGCTTCTAACATAACACAGTAATATATCCAATTTAAATTAAGCCAGCCTGACAAGGTGCGAAAGTCAAGGTAAACAAGCAAAGTAGCAGGCAATTTTAGGAACCCTTCAGCCTTGCACTCCACCCAGGAGGTTGCCAATTCATACGAGCAAACCATCATCACTTATCACACCAGCTTTTCGGTCACAACAATGGGTCAAGCGCGCTGTTACCAGCCGCCAATACTTTGGCAGGCAGTTCAAGCCTCAGGTTACATTTCCTCACTTAGAGGATCAAAAGATCATCAAGAAGCTTGAGGCGTCGTAGAAGTCATCCCCAGAGAGCCACGTTTGAGAAGTTGCTTTAAGACCTTGACAAAAGTAGTGACATAGCATGGATTCCCTCACATAAATACCAACTGTGTCAGGGGCATGCTGATATGCAGTCTTTACTACTTCATAAATACTATATTAAAGCCGGACCTGACTTTACCCGGACCAACACATGTAGGCTGGTACTTAGATATACTGTCACAACAGCAGAGGTCTCTTAATCATGTAATGTTAGGTTAAAGAGCCCGCTTGAATGTCTATAATAAATCTGATTGACTTATATTTTCTTGATAAACAGCATAGGTTGATTATTTGATATGAATCTTACCTTGGAGGTGAGAAGAAATCAGTGAGGGCAGCAACAATGGTGAGTCAGGAAAAGAAAAAGCACTTTATGGTTATTATAGTGAAAGATTTATGCATTCAAAGTCTCTTCTGAATGGCTGACTAAAATAGACCCCCTGTCCACCTGACAATTCGTGTATCACAATGCAGCCGTTTTTGATTTGCCCTCAACCCGTGACCCATTTATTTCATGTGATTGCATTGCATAAGAGCACACTTCATACGTCCCTCACCTAACTGACAGCTGAGTTATCCTCTCTGCAGATATCAGGTTCCCTAAGCGTGTTTGCTTTTTAAATTTGTGGCATGGGATCTACTGACAAAGGATGACATCAGATACCTGTTGTTTTAAAGTTGCCTTTTAATGTCACTTTTAAAAAGTTGATAGTTTGAAGTTTATTAACTTGAGCGTCAAGTTTAAAGTATTTTGATAAAACAGTTTTATTCTCCACAACTAGGAGTCTACAGCCACGTTTATCATGTGAGGCTATACTTGGCCACATTGGTGCTTTGAGATAAATGCTAAAATTAGCATACTAACATGCTGTTTAGAAGGTGTAATGTTTACCATATTCACTATCTAAGTTTGCTGTGCTATCATGGTACCATGCTGTTAAGAAGGTGTTCAACATTTAGTACTAAACACAAAGTTCAGATGAGGATGATGGGAATGTTCTTAGTTTTGCAGGTATTTGTTCAAAAACCAATGTACTCGATACATTTAAGTTATAACAACATGATGATGCTAGATGAAAAGTCAGTGTGATTCATCCAGTGGGGACCGTGAATGTCAAACACACAATTGCTTGTTGTTATATAGTTGTTGAGATATTTCAGTCTGGACCAGGTGGGTGGGTAAACAGACAGACATTGTCATCCCTAGAGACATAATTGGCTCGACTAAAAAACAAAACATAAATAAAGTTGTAAGAAAATACAGAGTTTATGTATTTGTCAGCAGTTATAACTGTAACTGGTGTATGCATGGTTCAAAAATGCTTGATACTACTGTACAGCATATATTATTACATACATAAACAAGTTTTTACAGTGTGTTGAAGCATTTAATAATTGTTTATAACATTTGCAAATCATTCACAGACGGTTTAAACCTCCGTATAAGACAATTATATTTATATTATATACATGGTGTGTCAAAAAGTAGTATTATATATATTATATATATAGTAGCTCAACCCATGTAGGCTTACCGCAGCTGCCTTTCCTCTCTCTAAAACATATATATATATATATATATATATATATATAAAGTGTCAAAATGCCAGACAAGAGCATTTATCAGTCTATACATGAGGTAAAATATTTCTTTTACTGTGGCTGTTTACAAGTCTTATGGCCTCTGGAGCAAAACTAAACTTGTGTTTTAAAGGAGGAGTTATAATTGCAGACAAATCAACAGATAAACACAAAAAATTAATTATGTCTGATTACAGCTACATTATAGTGTATTATAATGTAAAAACATTTTAGTTGTGTGTCCTCTGCTTATAAATGCTCAATCCTGTTGGTCAACTCCTCAAAACGACACGTCACATTATGACCGTTGGTAGCTGTGCTGAATAAAGGTGTATTTTTATACTGGGATCAAAGTCACCATGGCTTCTGATTCACAATATGCCATGACAGCACTCTCACACAGAGGAGAGATCAAATACAACCTCTACAGTCTATTCTGGTCAGATTTCAGTGGCACATGACTGTCTGTCTCTCTGTCTGTCTGTCCGTCTGTCTTAGTGTTATGTGATACAGTTGAGCACAATGTCCAGTAGGAGACACCGTAACACTGAGACAAAGCGACAGGAATTAACACATAGCCACGGCCACATTTTTGTCCTATAGAATATAATCCCTGGGAGCCAAGCAGTGAATAGTTAAAGGTTTAGTGGTATAATGGCATAACCCTGGTCTTCATGTGTTGATCCTCTGGCCTGACAGTTCTGTAGTGTTATCTGTATATTTAGGTGATGTCGCCTGGGGGTTATGTGAGGTCAGGCTGGATGTCAGAAGTTCTTTAAGGGGTACCCTGGTGGCCTTTAAAGGTTTAAAACACTGATTTTCTTGTCATTTTGTTGTATGTCTCTCTCTCTCTCTCTCTCTCTCTCTCTCTCTCTCTCTCTCTCTCTCTCTCTCTCTCTTCTCTCTTCTGATTTCCTGTCAACATTTTACTATTTGCTAATAAATAATATATATAATAATAAAAAATAATAACGCCAAAAATTGTCACTATAAAAGTAATTTAAGCATGTGAATAAATTAGATTTTGTTCAACAACTTACATTGTAAGAAATGTCTAGGACGATATTTAACCTGTTTCCAGCCACCAGCTTGCAGTTTTCTACAGGAAGTTTACTACTTGTAAAGTTGGTCACTGCTGCCCCCCAGTGACTGATGATACTCGGACACATACACACAGCAATAAGGACAGACAAACTTCTATTTCTTGTGTAATTCTGTAGAAAAACATTTTTAGGCCATGCAATGTTCTGCATGTGAATGGAAACTACCAACCACATTTGATAAAAGCATCCTTCCTACGTATTCAGATGCCAGCACCTGATAAGATCATAAAGCAAATTCCATTGGTTGAGATCAGACCACTGTAACCAGTCTCTGTGTTTGTTCAAGCAAACTGTTGAACCATTTTTCCAAATGCACTTGATTGTTGTTCTTATTTGCTCGATAGTTTTTAAAGCTGTATTGTGGAGCCAGACCAGAATGAGCTACGTTATTTTTTTCTGTTCTTGTTTGACTGCTGGACTCGCAGTGTCATCTTCTCTTAGGATTCTGGACAAGCGTCCAGACTGCAATCAACAGGTGAGGATTCAATATATTGTACAAAATAAGTATACAAGAAATATTATAAAAGTAAACTGAGGGGAATTTATAGTCCTATATTCATGAAGTCACTCTTATCTTGTGTTCTTTTTCCAGGGTCTTGACAACTGCAAAATTAGTAAGTATAACAATTTGTATACTTAATTTGTATAATCAGTAGATTAAAGTTCAACCAATATGTTAAGGGGTGACTATATTTTGTCAATATCTTTGCATTTGACTGTTTTAATTCCAAACGTGACAGAGATCACGGTGGAGTGATTTGTAAAGGATAACACACATAAGTACACATAAGTTAAAGGACCAGTGTGTAGGATTTAGGGGCATCTAGCCAGTAGATCTTTCTAAATGTTAAACACTGGACCTTTAAATATTTACAACATGATAATACTAAATACTCCATTCCCTAAATGTCAGATAACTGCTCAGACAAACGCACAGTCGCACAACTTGCTCCTAGCGGCCCAGAATGGGATCCTGAGCATGTGGGAGTCTGGATGGACGAACATGGGCTTGATTCTGTTGTGAATGTGACCTGGAAACTAAAGGCTGATGGTAAGTAATGATTTAAAAACTACGGTGTTGTTCAATGCATACAAGCTGTAAACCAACCGTCTCATCAAAGGTGAAAATCATTAGAGAAAGCATTCGTATGAATTATACTCTTCTATTCACAGCAGGTATATTCAAACTTCATGGATCAGAGATAAATATTCTGGATGAAAATACAAATCAAAGCATGTGTGTGCAGTTTTCATACAATTTCAGCCAACAGCGGAATCCAAACGATAGACAGGTATGATTGCAACATATTTATATATTTAACTATTGATTTAACAGTGGCAAGCAACATAGATGTTACAGATTAGTCACCTAGGATTTGTTTTTCTTTATTAGTGGACATTTTCCTTGGATGGAGTTGTGGTAGAGCCAGGGCAAACATATGTGATGACCATTTTTAATTTGCCAGAACCTGCAAATGGAGACTACAGGATTAGAAAGCAAATTACCATCCCAGGTGAGTTCCCTCCAGATCCAGATCCCTGAAATCTGAATTAAAAAACCTTTACTATGCTAGACATTTATTATAAGTAATACAAATAAGTTTGCTATACAAGGTTACAGGTTATATTGATTCTGACATTGTTCTTGTCACAGTAAATGTCTCAGCTATCATTACCACAGTTAACTCCTAGCCTTCTCACAAAGTAATATCAAGTGTGTATAGGCAACAGAAGACGAAGAAGGATCAGTTTAATATATATTTTATGAATCTTTTCTGTCACATTTGTCACACTTAATCACTTTTTGGATTTGTAAAAAACTGTAAAATTTGCATCTTCTTTATAATTCTCTGAGTGATTTAATACACAAAACAAACTTTAAAATGTTTTCTATCACTTTCATGATCAGGATGTGACGACAGGAGAATCCAGAAGACCCAAATGTGTCTGCAAAATGGTAAATTTTAATTTGAAGTTTTTGATTGACTGCTACAAGAGATTCAGGACCATCTAGGTCTGCATTCTGCATATGTTATGTGTTATCTGTTATTTCAGGTAGTCTATGGGATCCTCACATAACTGCTAATGTGTCTGTGGATAAGGAACATAGAAAGTTATCCATTGTTGTGGGTTTTGAGGCAGCACAATATTCTGAGAAATACCAGGTCTCCATCCAGAGTCAGAGTTTCTATTACTCAAAGAACATCTCAAAGGTAATTATACTGAATTTGTCACTTAAACTCCAGGGCTGTCGCACACATGGTATCAAGATGCACTCTCACTTTGTTATTTTCTTGAACAAACAGGAAAACGAAACATCGCTAAATGTGAAATTTGAGGTTGGTTTGTGGCAGCTCCATGAATGTGAAATATTGTTAGTGGTAAGTTCAGGTTTAATTTAATGTCCTGTTCTCACAGTTGATAAGGAAATCTTAGTTGTAGATATATAACATCACCTGACTCTGCTTGTTCTAAAGGTTCAGCCATTTTTTATTCAGTGCAAGAATGACTGTTGGTGCCCCAAGAAAATAATCAATAACTGTCTGTGTAAGTACGATTTTTGAAATATACAGTATATAATAGATTTCCATTTTCCATAAATCAGTGGTTCCCCACCTTTTTGGCTTTGACCCCCTTAAAATAGACAGCATTCATTTACTTGTTGCAGGTGTCAGACATCTTTGAGTTTTGACCTTTTAAACTTCTCAGATTGTCTTACTTTAATAAATATTTGAGACCCAAAGAGGTAAAACAATCCCATATTTCACAAAAAAAGCAAAGAAAATACTATATAATAATAATAATAATGCAAATTTATGCAGCAGGACATTCTTTTTTTCCTTAAGACCCTCAGATTTATCTTGAGATCCACTAGGGGTCCTGACCCCCAGGTTGGGAATCACTGGCATAATATTGTATATATTTTATCATTATTTATTCTAATCATATGTATTTTGTATTTGTGCTTATTTGGGTTGCTGTTTCTTTTCCTTTTTTTTAGATTATCCACCACGGACCTTAATTATAAAGGCAACTGTGGGGCTGTTTCTCATTGGTTGTTATCTTATCTTTTTACTGTGGAGAGCTTCTCATAAAGGTTTGCCTTCTTGTTAATGTACTGTATTGAATAGAAAACACAGCTTGAATTGATAATTAATCATTGGACTTCACCCTTCTCTCAGATCCTGTGATCCCATCCTCATCTGCTGCCAAAGAACAACCAGAAGGCTTTCAAGTGCAAGAGAGAAAAAGAGTCCTCATCATCTATTCCCTCGATCACCCATTATACAAAAACACTGTTCTCAAGCTTTGTGCCTTCCTGGCGACCAAATGTGGCACTGAAGTGGTCCTGGATCTGCTGGACTCTACAAGACTGGGAGTGTTGGGAAGCATCCAGTGGTTGGACTGGCACAGAGAACAAATAGAAAGGTCTTCAGGTAAGATATTAGTATTGTGCTCTCGGGGAGTACAAGCCAAATGGAGAGCCATGTGTGGTGACAAACAGGTTTTTCTGAGAGAGGACGCCCGCTCACCCATAGGTGACATGCTCAGTCCAGCCCTCAGCCTCATCGTCCCCCATTTTATCAGATCTGCGTCGTTTGAAAAGTACATAGTGGCTTACTTTGATGATGTTTGTTCTGAAGAGGATATCCCTTCACCTTTCAACATTACGGTCCGATACAAGCTGATGAAACAGTTTGAGGAAATCTTTTTCAGGATCCTGGGCACTGAAAAGCACGGACCCGGCAGAGTGAATCACATTGAAGGGCTTTCAGAGGAGGAGTACTATCACTGTGCCTCAGGTAGAGCCCTGCGGGATGCCATAGAGGCTTTTTATGCGTACCAGCTGGAGCATCCACAGTGGTTTGAAGATGAATTACTGGAAAGCTCAGAGTTGCAGGTTGAGGAGACCTCAGCTGAGATCTATGACAATGCAGAAACAACCACAACCCTCATTACACATTGTGTGCCTGATTCAGCTCACATCCTCAGTCATGTAAAGGCACAAGAAAGTGATTTTGCTATGGACACAACAGGACTTAACATGGCTGAAGAGTTTTAAATGTGCACCTCAGTTGAGTTCAACCGTCTTATTGTTGAAAACGTGCTGCCAGTTTAATGTACAGTAATCACTGTATGTGATTCAAGTTTTGAGACAACTATAAAGATCTTTTCCACTTTTCGAAGAAACTTTCAAGTCTTGTTCTGTCTCTGTTTTTACATTTTGGCACATATTTGTTATTGCCTTATATTTATATATAGTTTCTTTTGTTGTCATTTATAAGTATTAGGTGCACTTTTTATTGATGTGCTGTGCACTTCGCTTTGTATGGCCCTTGGTGGTCAGCTCTGGTTGTTTCAAATGCACTATATAAATAAACTTGATTGGATTGGATTTTATCTGAAAAGCAATCAGTTATTCTGTCTGCATCCAAAATTAGGTATGTGGACCCTTTCTACACATTCATTACTTCTTTAATGGTTTATATTTTGTAATTTACCATGTATTTGTGTGTCTTTGTGTGTGTTCTGCAGTGTTTTTATTGCAGTAATGTTAAATATCACTTGCTTTCACTCAGGAGACAAATCCAGAGTAGTTTTAGACCACAGAGATCTGTGGTTGATGCATGTGGGCTGTGTCAACAGTGTTTGGGTCAAAGTTCAGCCTTCTGGGCAAAGTTTCAAGCATTTTTGTTACACTGGAGAAGGTAAGCACTAAACCCTGTTTGAGGGACACTGTTTTTCTTTATTATGAGATGATTGAATGTAACATGTTATGTTCTTTTTAATATATGATGTCTTATTTATTCTCCTGTACAGCACTTTGCTCAACTTTGGTTGTTTTAAAGTGCTTAACAAATAAAGTTGGATTGGATTGGATATGAAACATTTTGATTAAATAGTCAATATTTGTACCACAGGTAAATGGAGTATGCATCTGACTGCATAGGGCATGTTTTTTTCTACAAAGTTAATGTAGAAAACTCCTTGTAGCTTTTCAGGTTTAGTTGTAATTTGTGCTGATGTGTCTCTGATCCACACAGAGTCATTGGTGAGATATCCCATTAAAGCCAGTGTTAAACAAACAAAATCAGCTGTAAAGCATTGACTGAAATGCTTGGCTTTTTGTCTCTAAGTTACAGACAGTTTAAAACATTTCAGCTAACAATCTGTGGTGTCTAAATGCAATGAAGTAGGGGAATAAAAGATAAGAGTACCGACCCCGGCTCTGGAATGTGGGTGTCAGTTTCTGAGAGTGGCCCCAAAATGGGGGGAGGGCGGTGGGATTTTGTCCCAACTAACTGGAGCAAAGAAAATCCTCACAATGGCTGAATTGGACTTCTGCCTTGCAGTGACAGAAAACACACTGCAGGGTGTGATGCAACTGGGGAGCCTGATAGATTTTTCCTTCAAGAAGCTGAGGTAATGCTCATTGATTTGATTTGGACAATCATTTTGTGTGAGATATACAACACTATGTTAAAGATTGGTCTACAGAGAATTTAAGTTACAGTCGCTGTATATATGTGAATGGTGGAGGGGAGACCATAGTCTTTGATAGATCACTCTGCAAGCATCAGGCTCAAACAATGAAAGAAACATTGAATAGCAAAAGATGATTGAAACCATCAGCGGACACATTTTTTCACAGTTAAATTAAAAAACTTCATATTTTCAGGGTCTCCCTAAAAATCTGAGCAGAATGAGGATGCTGCAGACAGCCTCTGCACTCATCCTGAGAAGAGGAATTACAACTTATCAGAGCAGATTGTGCAAAAATGGTAAATGCATCCTCTTCTTATATCTCAAACATTTAAAAGTATACATTCATAAAAAATGTATAATGATAATGATGATTTGTGATCCACGACCTCTTCTCTCAGACAGCCTCTTCCGAGTTCATCCATCTGTATCACAGGCACTGGCAGAAAACAAACCAGTGGTCGCACTCGAGAGCACAATCATCACACATGGCATGCCCTATCCGCACAACCTGAGGTACCACATTAACTCTCAAGTGTCAATAAACTGTGATACCAGCAGCTCATAGTTGTTTTTAATCACTGAGTGCCATTAATATTTTAATGCAGCACGGCAAAGGAGGTGGAGGCCATCGTGAGAGCCGAAGGAGCCACTCCAGCTACGGTTGGAGTGATTGAGGGAGAAGTCCGTGTTGGTCTGTCGTCAGAGGAGCTCGACTTCCTCGCCCGCTGTGAGAACTCCCTGAAGGTGTCCCGTCGTGATCTGCCCTATGTCATCAGCAAAGTGAGACCACACACACACACACACACACACACACATATAATCTCAGGGTTTCATCCACTCCTGAGTCCTTTATGGTGGTGTTCTGAACGCTGTCCTGAATGTTATCTTTTCAGGGGCTCTCCGGGGGGACGACAGTGTCAGCCACTATGATAGCAGCACATCGAGCTGGCGTCCCTGTCTTTGTCACTGGAGGCATTGGGGGAGTTCACAGAGATGGAGAGAACAGTAAGCAGATGTTGATGGGAAACACACCTGACTTTTACACATACTGATACTACAGACTGAGTGGATGGTCTTGGCCTCCTTTTCACGTGGAGAGTGAACAATCCTGTAATCAGGTTTATCAGCTATTAAATGACTGATCTGGACACAGAGAATAGTGTGCTTATGGAGTCACAAATATGATCCAGGGGTGACCCCACCTGGTGGAAGGCCTCCATGTGTGAGGACACCAAAACTCTTATTGGTGTGATATGTAGAAGAATACGTTAGTATCATGTAAACTATTTGGCATTTGTAATAGTTATGTGAAGGCTTACCATTAGTCACCATTGAATCAATTACTATTCCTCCAGGTCTGGACATCAGTGCTGATCTGACAGAGCTCGGCAGGACTCCCATTGCAGTGGTTTCTGCTGGTGTCAAGTCTATTCTGGACATCGGCCGCACTCTCGAGTTTCTTGTAAGAATATTGAGATCATTTTTCAGGGTCATGTTGTCACTGTACAATGGCACATCTGATACTGTGTTTCCCATTTGAGTACTTAAGTTACCCAAACAAATATGTCATATTTTATGTATGATATAGGCTTGTAGTTTATTTACCACAGATTGTTTTCCTTCCTATTGTTTTTTTAACTGGCGAATCCTAAAAATAAAATTAAAGGACCAGTGTTTAAGATTTAGTGGAGGATTTATGCAGCAAAGTTGCAGATTACAAACACCGCACCTCACCCTGCCTTTCCAAACAAAACTTTAAAAAAAAAACGCAAAAGGCCCTATCTAGAGCCAGTGTTCGGTTTGTCCCTTCTAGGCTACTGTAGAAACATTGGCATTTCAACATGGTGGTGTAGAAGAGGACCCACTCCCTCTGTAGATAAAAACAGCAGATGAAAACACAACGATGGTGATTTTCAAGGGATAACACACAAATGAAAACATACCTATAAATATTATATTCCATTTCTGACAATAGATCCTCCTAAATGTTACACACTGGGCCTTTAACATAAAGGTAGTGTTAGAACATACGTACAGCAAGCTTTATATCACAAAGACAGATGTTGGACAGAGCGGTGTTGAAAGGGGCCTGTTAGATATATCTCTTGTGTATCTTAGGAGACGCAGGGTGTCTGTGTAGCCACTTATGGGACACTGAAGAACTTCCCAGCCTTCTTCTCTCCCCAAAGCGGATTCACTTCCCCGTACCAAGTCTGCAACCCTGAGGAGGCTGCGAAACTCATTGGTATATGAGCATTTTATATCCTCAACGTTAATAGTTTCATTGATTCCTTGAACACAGAAAGGTTATGAATGTGGATCTGTCTTTTGCAGCAAGCACTCTGTCACTGGGTCTCCAAAGTGGTGTCCTGTTAGCTGTGCCCATCCCAGAGGAGTATGCAGCAGCTGGCCAGCATATAGAGGAAGCCATACAGGCTGCAGTAACAGAAGCAAGGTACAGGAAGTCTCTGTGGTTTGTAATCTTTTGTAAAGCACTTCAGTTGAAAAACAACAACTTTCTGTTTCCTTTTTTTTGTACTCAGTGGTAAAAGTATAACAGGAAGAGATGTGACGCCATTCATTCTTCAAAAAGTCAATGAAATGACTGAAGGAAAGTCCCTTCAGGCCAGTATCCTGCTGAAAGTCTGAATCATTGAGAACTCAAGAGGACGATATCAATTGTTTTTAAAACAAAAAAAGTCCTCTATGGTATATTACAGCTTAAATATCCTTAACCTGCTATGTTCTCAGACATTGCTCTCATTCATAACAATGCTAAAGTTGGCAGTCAGATAGCCTGCGCTTTGTCAAGAGAAATAAACGAGAGAAATTTCAATGGCAAGAGTCGTAATCATGGAAAACACTCATCAGACTCACAGTCAGATATTGTGAGTATGAACACACATGATAGACCAAATGTTCCAATTGTTGGCACAATACAGTACTCTCTGTGTTTTTCTTTTACAGGTTGTCGTGGGAGGAATAAACGTTGATTTTCTTGCTAAAGGAAAAACGAAATCACTTCTTGTAAGTTTAGTTTATAACACGTATTTATCCCCACTAACTCCAGTTCATAAGATCATACCATGTAGGTTTATCGGCTTCTTGTCTCTTTCAGTTTGGACAGACCAACCCAGGAAGTGTCTGTCAATCATTTGGTGGTGTAGGTCGGAACATTGCTGGTCGGTTTTTAATCTGACAATGCTCATGCACGTTTTCGTCAGTAGCTTGAACCTGATGTCTCACACTTAGTACATTTGATCTTTTCTTCTAGATTCTCTCAGTCGATTAGGCTGTAGTCCCCTGTTCATCTCTGCTACTGGAGCTGATTCACACAGTGATGCAGTGTTAAACTATTGTAAACATATGGTACGGCGACTGTTTATTACCAAACATGATTAGAATCTCTTTTACTTAAAGGTCCAGTGTGTAACATTTAGGAGGATCTATTGGCAGAAATGGAAAATACTATTAATTGGTATGTTTTCATTAGTGTATAATCACCTGAATCCAGTAATCATTGTGTTTTTGTTGCCTCAGAATGAACTGTTTTTATTACATGGAGTCATATTGAAGTGCCATGTTTCTACAGTAGCCCAAAACAGACAAACCAAACACTGGCTGTAGATAGGATAGATAGTTCCGCAGCCACTGTAGTTTCTCCTACGCACTTTCCACAGATCGTTCCACAGACGCGAGTGGTGTTCAGTTAGTTCAACCTGCAATTTCACTAGATGCTAATAAATCCTACACACTGGTCCTTTAAAAGTGCAAATGTTAAGTTGTTGACTTTGTTTCTTCTTTCTGTAAGAACACAAGTGCTGTGGCCAGGCTAGAAGAGCAAAGCACAGCTACTTACTGTGCTGTTATCACTGAGAGTGGAGAACTGAGTCTTGGGTTGGGAGACATGGACATTCATCAGCAAATCACAGAGCAATATGTAAGTTATACTGACAAATCGATTCAATTTTAGCAAGTCTACCCCAGGATTTGCGTTCCTGTGCCATATTAATAACCATAATAAAACCCAAAAACAAAAATATTTAATAAATGTAGTTACCTCTTTGTATAGTCACATGCACCATCCTGCACTGTAATGGACAGGAAACAACACATGCACATACTAGACAAAAGGGCTGGAGCCTGTGGGCAGATGATTTGCGTGCAGACTCATATGTTACTTAATGACATAATCCATGGTTTGATTAATCAAGAATTTAACCAACAGATGAACTGATAATGAGAATAATTGTTATTTGCAGCCCTAGTTTGTTTCATATTTTGTTTTATTTTTCTATATTTGACCTTTCCCTGAAATTTTTGTTGTGTTTCATGGTATTGTATTTTATGACGCACCTCTTGTTTTGGAAGGGGCAATAGAAATAAAGTTTACTAACTTAATTTCTTTATTCTTTGAATATGTTTCCTTAGGTGTCACAGTTTGAGAAGCAGCTTTCATCAGCCACTCTCGTGTGTCTCGATGGAAACATTCCCGTCTCCACAATCAACTATGTATGTTCCATTGCCTCTAAACGCAACATCAATGGTAAACACAGGGAGATGGCCACTAAATGATAATCACGAACAGAAGCTTTTGTTGATTTTAACGCAATGTGTTTCACAGTTTGGTATGAGCCCACAGATTCAGAAAAGGCTTGTAAGCCTTTCCTTTCAGACGCCTGGAAGTCTCTGTCTTATTCATCCCCGAATCTGGCAGAATTGTGCACCATGAACAAAACTCTTGGTATCCCAACACCTGAAGGTAACCTGTATTCCTTAAAGATCATTTAATAATTCAACTATGGACTTATTGGTTTCTTTACTCCTGTGTGCTCTCAAACACATATCCCACTCACAGTTGTTACAGTTAGGGTGCAAATTGAAAAAGTGTGATTGTAGCTGAGGATGTGGTTTTGCCTTGTGGGCTGGCAGTGCTGCCGAGCTCTCATGACGAAGTGCTGAGTGTTGCTGTGGCTCTCTCACGCCCCCTTCTGGAGCATCTTCTCTGTCTGGTGGTGACTCTCGGGGCTAATGGACTGTTGGTGTGTGGAGAGCATGATGGAGGCTCTGTCAACCTGCAGCCAAGAAAACAGAAGAGGGTATGTGCAGAATATATTTAAACTAGTGGTGATGAGGATGATGATTACTATGATGGTGAAAGTAAAAATGTTTACTGTACCTGTGTTTATAGAGGAGGCAGCTCTGTGCTCTTCACTACCCAGCACTGACTGTTACAGCAGAGGAGACAATGAATGTGTCAGGAGCAGGAGATAGGTGCTAAACGTTTATTTGACCTACTTTTTCTTCTCTATTCTCATTTTATTTTCCAAACTTCCTCTGCTTTAGTTTCATTCACTTTTCATTTCCTATGACCTCTTTCTCTGCCCGTCTCTGTCGTACTTTCTCTCGCTCACAAAATCATGCCTAACCCATTCAAACCAAGCGCTCTCATCCACGTTCTGTCTGCAGCCTTGCAGGGGCCTTAATGTCTGGGATTGTCAAGGGTCGAGACACCGACAGCTGTGTTCGGATGGGGCTGCTGGCTGCACGGCTGTCCCTGGGGTCACCGCACCCAATCGCCCCCACGCTCACCTTAGACTCTGTGGATCCCAACAAAGTCCAGACTCATTACTGGCCCAAACCCAGCTTCATGTGGATAGACTGAAAATATTTATATTTTCAATTTTGAAACATTACTAAAGAAAAAAGGTTTAAAGTTATGAGTGGATTCTTGAAACATGAACCTTTGACTGAGTAAATAAATGTAAGATGACATGTTTTACAAAAACCATTCATCTAAAACTGTATTTGATATTTTATATTGTTATATAACAATTGATAATATGGAAAATAAATAAATGGACTACTTTTTCCTAAACTTTGCTTGAGTTCTTTATTACAAATCCTTGTAAATAAAATATGAAACAAGGTACTCACTTCTCATAATAAATTAAGGTATATATTTAAAATCAGTGGTAGAAGAAGTAGTTTCATAAGTAAAATACTCCATTACAAGAAAAAGTCTTGCATTCAAAATTGTACTTAAGTAAAAGAACTTGTTATCAAAAGCAAAAATACTCACTATGCTGGATTTTAGATCTACTTCATACACAGTACTATTGTATAGATGAACTTGTAACAATACGACAGAGCTGATTCTATGTTTTGTATGTAAAGCTTTTAATAAATGTATTGGAGTAAAAAAAGGTACAATATTTCCCTGTGAAATGTAGAGTTGAAGTATAAAGTAATATAAAATGTGAATACTGAGATCCCCTCCAGACATGTGTTAAGACACACAAATAGTCTGGTTAGAACAATAATGTGTCCACAATAAAATCCTTAAAAAGGCATCTCCTCCTTCTATCTCGCTATAAATTCTATAAATATACAAATTTAGTTAATTTCTAAAGTTTTCCTGCTGGATACAAAATGTCTCCTACTTTACTGTAAAGTCAATTTTATTTGTGTTTGTGCACAGGTTACTCTTCCAGCTGCAACATCCAAACTACTTGTGATGCCACAAATCATGCTTGTGGACCCCGCCCCTTAAAATCTGATTTTCAATGAGAACAGAGAAACTTTCCACTCTGCACATACATCATTCTGTACAGTGGAGATGTAAAAACATGAAGAAAAAACATGTTTTTGAGTGGAGGGGAAAAGTTAAAAAAAATGGACAAGTACCTGAAAAATGCAGGTCATTACGGTACATTTTGGTATTTAATTCTAAATGCCACCTTTTACCTGTTTGTAGGAAATGGGTCACTGATTCATGCTTAAAATCACTCAAAACTCAATTTCCCAGAAAGCCTGTGTGCATTCGCGCAGACTCAGTCGCACTGAACACTTGCCCCATTCCCTCCTCCCTACTTTAATGCTAGCTAAGATGGTGGTTAGAGCGTAAATTGTCTCTACAATACCAAGAAAAGAAAGGGGCAAAACATCTTTGTAGCCTTTTAATTACAACAGAACAACACACCTACGGCTATCTTATGTGACTGTTTATAGAAATTTGGACATTTCAGATATATTGGCTCGCAGTCCCCGCCCAATTTGGTGTGACTCCCTTGGAGAGGAATCCTAAGCTAAATACGGACAGGGTAAGTAACGCTAACGTTAGCCAAATGGCTAGCCAGCTTCTCAACTCTCCCTCAATAAATAAATAAAGGGGGAGTTGTATCCGTCACTATTTTACAGACTTGACACAAAAGTATCCTCAAGCTTACTACATCTCTGTCTGTGTAATTGTAATGTCGTGAGAGCAGTGTCAGTTGTTTATACTGCCTACAACTCTCTCCCAGTCCAGCGTTAGCTTGTGTAGGCCGCGGCGGAAGCTCGGCTCCAAAAACCTCGTACGTTTTAATGGTAATGTAGCATGCTAGCTATGCTCATGCTAGCGGTTAGCTCGCCCCCCCCTCCCCTCCAAAAAAAAAAAAAAAAAATGAAGCTGTCAGTTAATATGTCGACGAAAGCGTTAACGTGATGGCATACGCGTCTTTATGAAGGGTTGACGTGGATATCGAGTTGATTTTAACCTGTGTATGTTTGTGGGTTTGTACGAGTTGCTCCTGGTTACTTGAGCTTTTTACTTTCACCGGCTTCTTTCACCAATCCGCGGCTCATGTTAGCTTAGCCTAACGTTAGTCAAATAACATCTGTCATAATGTTACGATCCATTAGACAGAGCAGCTGAAGTTACCGGCAGAGCTGACCGGGTATTCTGGCTTTATGCACGATTTTATGAATCAGCTGATATCTGCAAGTGAAGCAGCAAAAAAACCGCGATACTCCTGTACGATGGTGATTTATTAGCAACTGCTGCCAAGCGATGGAAATGTTGGCATTTTTCTCTGTTGTCGTCTAATTGAACTCTCCACTGTCGCCTTTTAGCAATCGTGGTTTGCCATTGAGTTTGCCTGCTGGCAGCAGTGTTGTCACGTAGAGACGAGGCTGGTGTTTAAGTGCTAACAATAGACGTGTCATTTGTAAATAAACGCAGTTTGTTGCGTTTCCCTGTAACGTCCATCGTGACGCTGAGTTTATTACTGTCAATCCCATGAAAGACACCACAACATCCGCATTATCACTGAAACATGATGACTGAACATGATTTCTGGCTTGCTTTTCTAAGAAATACAGTCAAGATGCTGTTGTTTTTTTAATCAGGCACACTGAGCTAAAACTAATGCAATGCATAAATATATGTGTGTGTGTGTGTATATATATGTATATAAGTCTTGCAATAATCCAAACTTTCCTGGAGGTTATAATGTTCAGTTTATGTTGAAACTGTTTGTATGATAATTTGAAGGCTTTGCGACCCATCACAATAAGAGCCCAAGGTGACTGCTTCAGATTGCTTGTTTTGTGCGACCAACACTCGATATATTCAATTTACTATCACAGAGGACTAAAGTCACAAAATAATTCACATTTAAGTAGCTGGAAACTGGATACTTTTTGACGCTGTAGCTTTTTTGATGTTGTGATGAATCAAAAAATACCTGCCGATTAAATTCTGTCAATCAACAAATGGTTGCATCTCTGACGTGTACCGAGAGGAGTTTGTTATTTATTGTACACCCAATGTTATAGACGAAACATCCGCAACATCTCTGCATACAGCACAATGCAGCTCAACACTACCAGAAACTGCAGCTTCCAAAAGGACTGTACAGTTGAATTAACGCCTCAAAAAAGTTTGAACATTATATCCTCCATTAAAGTAAGATGTATTGCATTAAACTACAGTAGTTGAAGTAGGTGGACCTAATAAACTGAGTGCAGTGTTTCCTTTGTTGCTGAATAGGTCAAACTCTGCATGAAAGATATTATATATAAATACATTTTGGTGTGTGCTTAGTCTGATATTGTGACCTTGGTGCTCATAAAGTTGGCTTCAGAGGCTATACCATCCCACCACCAAAGTCGGGGATTGGAGAAACAAGTTCGGTTCAATTGACATTGTCCAGTCATGTCATGAAGGAGCTCTTATCCTTTGCCTTTGTATGTTTTGGGGTTTTTTTTAGCCCAGTGCTCTGTGACCAGCTTCAACACTCACCCGCCCCGTGCCATAGGATGTCCCACAGCCCTGAAATGAAGGACGACCCCATGGAGTGCCCTCTATGCATGGAGCCTCTGGAGATTGATGACGTCAACTTCTTCCCCTGCACCTGCGGCTATCAGATCTGCCGCTTCTGTTGGCATCGCATCCGCACAGACGAGAATGGCCTCTGCCCCGCCTGCAGAAAGGTAAGCGGCATATAAGAGAGACAAATTCATCACAACTTTCAACAGAGAGGATGTGTTTGGGAAAACAGAGATGAGGATGTTGACAGTCCAAATGCAAAAATAGGGTGGAGATAAACTTTTGATCCCCCTTCTAAAGTAGCTTGTTAGTTAAAATATCAACATCATTTACAGTTTACAGCCTGAGCCGTTTGGTTAGTGTTGCCTGTTGAACTCTCATATTTACAACTAAAGGCCTCAGTTACCGACTGTCATTTGCAAAGTCACATAGTATTTTTTTTCAATGGTGGATATATCAGTTTATAACTAAATTGTTTGTGTGCTTTTGTAGCCGTACCCAGAGGACCCCGCTGTATACAAGCCTCTGTCACAGGAAGAGATCCAAAGGATAAAGAACGAAAAGAAGCAGAAACAGAACGAGAAGAAGCAGAAGGTGACAGAAAACCGCAAGCATCTGGCCAGCGTCAGAGTGGTCCAGAGAAACTTGGTGTTTGTGGTGGGGCTCTCGCAGCGACTCGCCGACCCGGAGGTGAGTACAGCGTCACCACCAAAAAGCTCGGTGACTTATTGCTACCTGAGTGTATGTTAGCTTAATGTGAATAAGGCTTTAACAAACGGAAGCCATTAGCTGCTAGATTTATCTTGGGCTTTTCTGACATGAGCAAAAATAATGAAAGTCATAAATACTTTGATAGGGAACGATTTTAATGCATATTTAAAGGTCGCTCAGTGAAATGTCTCACCGAAGCCTCAAGTGTCAAGCTTATGTTTTATGTTGTCTATGAGAGAGCTGACAGTGGAACCAAAACTTTATATTTATATTTTTTTCATTGTGCCCACAGGTCCTAAAACGACCAGAGTATTTTGGGAGGTTTGGGAAAATCCATAAAGTGGTCATCAACAATAGCACATCTTACGCCGGTTCACAGGTAAGAGGTTGGATCAAATGTGTTTGTAAACAATAAAGGTCCAGTGTGTAACATTTAGGAGGATCTGCTGGCAGACATGGAATATAATATTCATAGGTATGTTTTCATTAGTGTATAATCACCTGAAAATAAGTATTGTTATGTTTTTGTAACCTTAGAATGAGCCATTTCTATCTACAGACGCCACAGATCGCCTTCTATGGAGTCTGCCATATTGAACCGCCCTGTTTCTACAGGACAAACAAAACATTGGCTCCAGATTATTGTTTTTGCGCATTTCGCGGTCACCATTTTTCTTCTTTGCACTTGGAAGGGGAGGATGAACGGTGGGAGTTGCAATCTGCAACTACACCACTAGATGCAACTAAATCCTACACACTGGATCTTTTAATAGAACTTCATCAATACTATTTTTATAACAGAAGAACTATTTGCCTTTAACAAAGCAAAAAATGTGTAACCTTGGTTTGTTTACAAATACACAAATACCAAGATTTTACGGTTCAAACATCAATGATAGAAATAATTATTCACTGCATCGCTTTAAAGACACTGTAAATAGAATTAAACAGCTACAGTAGATCGGTTTGACCTGTATGTTGACTTAAAGTTTCTGTTTTTTCAGGGGCCTAGTGCCAGCGCTTATGTCACTTACATCCGCTCTGAAGATGCTCTAAGAGCAATACAGTGTGTGAAC